TTAGGGTAGCGCCCATGACAAATGTCTATCCAGAGAACCCAACACCCCTTAAGTAAGGAATATACCTTAAATTATGAGGGGCCTTAATATTTATGATTTAGGGTATATTCCTTAATTAAGGGGTATTGGGTTCTCTGGGCTTGGTCACGGTCCTTGAGGAGCCCTACTCTTTAGGGGTTTCGGGTTTAGGAGTTTAGGGGTTTCGGGTTTAGGAGTTTAGGGGTTTCGGGTTTAGGAGTTTAGGGGTTTCGGGTTTAGGAGTTTAGGGTTTAGGAGTTTAGGAGTTTAGGGGTTTCGGGTTTAGGAGTTTAGGGTTTAGGGTTTAGGAGTTTAGGAGTTTAGGAGTTTAGGGTTTAGGGTTTAGGGTGGCTGGGTCTTAGCAGGGAATGGAGGAATGGGCTTTTGGGACTACTCTAGGGGGCCGTCATAGGGATCCATTCCCCCGTTCCCGACTAAGAACCAGGGAGTTGAGGAACCCTACTCGGGTTTATACGGTTTGGGGCTCAAGGTGCGCAGGGTATAACCCTAAACCCTAAAACCCTAAACCCATTAAGCTTTCAGGGTTTAGGGTTTAGGGCTCAAGGTGTGTAGGGTGTAGCCCTAAACCCTAAAACCCCAAACCCTAAACTCCCTAAACTCATTAAGCTGTCAGGCTTTAGGGTTTAGGTCTAGGTGTGTAGGGTTTTCCGGGTTCGGGAGTCGGAGGTTTAGGCCTTCGAGCCTTGAGGAGCCCGACCTAGCGGGTCAGACGCTACCCCCTTTTAAAAAGAAAAAAAGCCCGGCAACCTATAGGATTTAGGGATGCCGGTGGATACCTGACTGGTCCTTATCTAAGCGAGCTCCATGCCCCAATCACTGCCCCAAGCGATTGCACCTTAAAGCATGGGGGTTCTTAAATTTGCTTTTAGAAACCTCACGTGTGGCGCATGAACCACAAATCTTCCAGGCTCTTAGCTTATTACAAGAATAGCATGATACACCCCCAAGCCTCATTCTAATTATTCTTATTATTATTATCATTATCATTAGTATTATTAATGTTACTATTATTATTATCATTATTATTATTGAGGCCCCTGCATTGCCAGGCTCTTAGCATTCATCAGGTCCGGTGCGTCCCCATCGCCTACAGCCGAATCACGAGGGCACCGTAGGTTTGCCAGGGTGTCAGAGAGCTCCTTTTTTGTTGTTGGAGGCAGAGGGTTCCTTCAAAGGTCCTCTAGTAGGGTTTTTTTTTATAATTATACCAATATAGAACCCCAAAACAGGGTACTCATAAGCTACCTGCTACCTGCCGCCATACTTGCACTCCCCAAAAACCCAACTCAACGAATTTCAGACGTTTGGGGCGTCGGCCCCATAACCCTCAACCCGACCAACACCTCTCCTTACAGGCATGATAGCAGACGCTTTGTCGGCTCTTCTATTTATTTTTGTGGAATAAAACCCCTAAAAACCCAGAGTTTATAGGGACCCTGCCCAAAGAATAGGTGTTTTTTGCTCATGGAAACCATGAACCCTAAACACCAGGCCTTTTTTTTGATCCTAAGCCCTACCCATAGGCTCCTTTGTAGTTCCTTTTTGGGATTACCTTATTCTAACATATAAACCCCAAAAAGGAACTACTTAGGAGCCTAAGCCCTAAAGCAAGACCCGAGAGCCGAATATAAGGCTTTACGATGAGAGTGTTTAGGGTTTAGGGTTTAAGGGTTTAGGATTAGGGTTTAGGGTTTAGGATTAGGGTTTAGGGTTTAGGATTAGGATTTAGGGTTTAGGGTTAGGATTGGGGTTTAGGGTTTAGGGTTGGGGTTCACCAGCAATTCCCCGTCCTCGCCGAGCGCATCGAGCGCGGCCCGTGCGACGGCACGGGGACGCCCGGTTCTTGCATTTTGGAAGAGCTTTGGGTTTGGGGGTTGGGGGTTTTGAGCTTTGGGGTTGAGGGCTTAGCTTTTTTGGCAGTTTAGGGGTTGAGGTGTTTAGGGGTTTGGGCTTGCAGGGTTTAGGGGTTTAGGGTTAAGGGCTTGCAGGGTTTAGGGTTATGGTGGGGACCGGAGGCTTTGAAGGGGCATCAGCAGCCTGACACTACCTGTCACCCCAAATACTACGGAGCAGTGACTTATGACCCCGGCAAATACAGGGAATGAGCCATAGGATAGTAGGGTCCTTGGAGCCACAGCCGCAGGTACTGAAACCCATATTTCCACATGAGGGTATGATCTTCAAGGACTACAAAATTCATCGACGCTGGAACCCTAAACGAGAAATCCTCAACCGAAAAACTTCGCTAGACCCCGAGCCCGAACTGTTGAAGACACATGAAAAGAAGCCCAGATGATGAACCCTATAAACAAACCCTATGCAGCCCTACAAGGCCTTGAAAGAATTTTGTATAACACCCTACAAAACCCTAAACCCTAAACCCCTACACCCCGACACCCCCAAACCCTAAACCCTAAACCCGATGAAACCCTACGAAGTTCTGTCGAACCCTTCAGGGAACCCCCGCGTTACTAGGACCCCTTTAAAAGCAACCCTTCGAGGACCCCTGAAAGGACCCGAAAACAATCCCTTCAAGGCGTTTAAGGTTTAGGGTTTAGGGGTTTAGGGGTTTAGGGTCTAGGGTTTAGGGTTTAGGGGTGTAGGGTTTAGGGTTTAGGGGTTTAGGGTCTAGGGTTTTGGGGTGTAGGGTTTAGGGGTTTAGGGGGACTTCAAGGACCCCTTAAAGGAGCCCTTACAGGAACCGAGTTCAGTAGCCCTTCAAGGAACCCTTTTAAGGAACCCGTTAACAGGAGCCCTAAGCCCCCTAAACCCTAAGCCCTAAACCATAGAGCCCCAAGCCCTAAAACCTAAACCCTGGAGCCCTAAGCCGTAAACCCTAAACCGAACCCTAAAGCCTTGAACCCTAAACCCTAGAGCCCTAAGCCCCCTAAAACCCTAAACCCTAGAGCCCTAAACCCAAAGCCCCTAAACCCTACATCCTAAACCCTATACCCTAGAGCCCTAAATAACCCTAGACCCCTGTAGGCCCCCTAAAGGCTCTTATGGCGACTTCGGGCCAGGTCACTGCTTCGCAAGGTTGGCAGACGCAGACCTACAGTCGTGTCCGGTTGTAGGGCTTTAGGGCTTATAGGGTTTATGGGTTTAGGATTTAGGAATGTAGGGTTTGAGGGTTTAGGGTTTAGAGCTTTAAGGTTTTAGGGCTTTTGGGTTTTAGGGTTTTAGCGGTTTTGGGTTCGAGGGTTTTGTTTACAGAACCTACTCTACACCGTTCGAAGGAAGCGTCTCTTACTCTGACCCAGCGAACCCCCAAACCCGAAAAAAATATACTCCTTAAACCTAAACCCTAAACCCAGAACCTAAACCCTAAACCCTGGAACCTAAACCCCAAACCCCTCAACCCTGGAACACGGACTGCACATGTCGCAGGCCTTTCTGCATGGACGGAGCCCCATCCGCCACGATGCCAGTCAGAGTGCGGCAGGCACACTTTGGTGGATTCTTCCTCGTTTTCCAAAATCTCACGCAGCATGTGGGACACAGACTCTGCGACCTTCTCACAGTAGTCCTTTTCGCAGTCATAGAGAGGCCCAGCATCCTTGCCATAAATCTGCAGCACACCGAGTAGGCCTTGCTTGGTCGTGATGACCTGCCTTTCCGTGTCACCGACTATTTCTATTGAACAATCTCCATTGAGCCTTGTCATCCAGACTCAAAGACCACGAATGTGCACGCAGTAGTGTTTGCCGACCTAAACCTCCACGCCTAAACCCTACACCCCAGGCAGTCTCACGCATATCGACTGACTAATGGCTTCTTCCAGATCCCAAGCAATCCAGGGCCAGGGTCCGACCATCAAAAGCCTGCCTCTTTCTGTGACGGCTTGTGTAAGAAATACATCTGAGAATTATATACAGAGGTAAAACTACAAATGTAGATACAAATAGAAACATGCTTATGTATGTCTGCGCGTATGTACGTGTATGTATATATATATATATATGCATATGAATATCTATATTTGAGGAACACATCAGAAGGAGCATCGGACGGTCTTTGCTTTGAGTCAAGGGTGTCCTTAGTCATCAAGCACGTAATTAACCTGACAACCCCCAAGCTCCCCGTCCTACATGGATTTAGGGTTTAGGGTTTAGGGGTTTAGGATTCAGGGCTTTGGGGTTTGGGGTTTAGGATTTAGGGTTTAGGATTTAGGTTTAGGGTCTAGGGTTTAGATGGATGTGGGGTCCTTTGCTGTGTTTGGAATGCGCTTTTGAATGTCCAGCTCTGAGTCCCTAACCTGGGGAGTCAAAACGTGTGCCTTCCCGGCAAAGACCTGGGACGAGTACGTGTATGCAGTGTATGCAAATGCAATCGCAACTCCCGTGATGTCAGGAGCAGGATATGGCTCCTGGTCCCGAGCATGTCCGGCAGGTTGGCAGCCGTCTTCCAAGATACGGCCGCTTCGAAGGGAAGATCTTGCCACAGCATCCGCACAAATTCAAAGGCCAACCTTGCGTCGGTTTCTCGATGATTTCTGGGGACGACAGCTTCACTCCGCCATCCGGTTTGTGCAAACAAGACCAGCACAAAGCTGTGGCTTCGCTCAGCGGGATGTCCGAAGGGAACCTCTCGCCACAACCGGTGCAGTCGAACTCTTGCCACTTCCCACTCTGTGGGTATCCATGTTGTGAGGCCCTTTCCAGCCAGGACACTGCGTCAGGAAGCTTCACATGTGGATATGTGCGGATGAAGTGGAAAGCACGTCGAAATATGTGCGCACTCACTTCCTCGTCAACACATAGAGTCAGCAGATGCAGCATGCTGCCTCTGCGAACCAGCCACCGCATCTCCTCGTCCCAGGGAGCTTTGCATACCTCCAACAACTGCAAACAAAGCTTCACCCAGCGTTTGATCTTCCAGGCCTCGACAGTTCCACTATGCAGCCGCACTTCTAAGGTGTGATATAAGCGATCCTCGTCGGGAAAGTTGACTGTGTGATACTTTCCATCTGGGTTGAGCAACTCTTTCACATCCCTTGCCATGAAATACTCATGACCGTACCATAGCCGCCAAAGATCCTTTCCGCGAAGAAAGGGTGCAACCTGTTTGCAATATTGATTGTCCCGGCGTGATGGAGGAACAACTGCAAGTAGCAATGGCTCGAGACGAACCCATAGTCGTGCAAAATTCACAAGCGTAACATGCTTCATTTTTGCCTTGGACAGCTCTGTCATGTCCATGTGAACATGGAAACCGCACGACTTCGTAATTCTGGCATCCAGGTCGCACAGAGCATCGCTGACGGCGTCGATATCGCCTTCCAGATCCTGAAAAGCCTTCGCACGTGAGGAAAGTTCCAGCGACGTCATGTTTTTTATATCATCCAGACTCGAATCGTGCTGCACAACCCAGTATCGCGTGCACACCCTGTCTTCTCCATCTTTGTAAGGGCTAATTCCTCCGTCTGGCCTGTAAACCTTTCTCCGGTCTCCATCACAGCGCTTCGCAAGGTACAGATCACTTCGTTTCGCAAGCATTTTGGCAGCACCCTCAACATTGGACAAGGGCATGTGCAGCTCGAGCTCCAGCCCCACACGATGCTGCGCCCAAGCAAAGCAGGGGGACCGGAATTGAGATGACCACAGCAACAGTACTGTAGCAGGGATAATTAGCATCCAGGAAGCCATCATGGGTCAAAATGTAGTACAGTATAGAAAATTAGAGTATCGTATAGCATAGTATAACATGGCCTAGCATAGTATAGTCTAGTACAGTATATAGCATGTAGCATATAGCATATAGTCTGTAGTATCATACAATGCAATGCAACAAAATATGATACGGTATATAGACAGCAGAACAGGTAGCTTCTGGTGAAGTTGAGATGGCGTCTGCCAGGTAGTCGGGCGGGTCACTCTGCGCTTGGAGGTTTAGAGTGGTTATCACCTGCTATGTGGACGTTATGGTGAGAACTGTGTTGGCGATATAATCAGTATAGTTTTAACATGTTTTAACCAGGACCCCTAGCTATGAGTATCGGTGAATGTCGGGGCCTTGTACTGGAGTTGCACTTTCTAACGAAAACACACATAACCGGGGCAAGCATCATTGGGGCGGTGAGCTTATGTAAGCTCTGAGCAGTCTTAGCCTCAAGGGGCGTTTTCATTGCACACCAGTCCCGGCCATCAAATTCTTCGTCCTCCTGAAGACTTAAGCCCACGAGCCCTTCCCCTAGGGATTCAAGTGCCTACGGCATCAACCACTCGCCCAAATACTAGGCTGCTGTCCGAAACCCAAATGCCTAATTATTGGATCGATTGGACCCCTAGGGTTCAAGTTAAGTTAAGCTATACTATACTATACTATACTATACTATACTATACTATACTATACAATACTATACAATACTATACTATACTATACTATACTATACCATACCATACCATACCATACCGTACCATACCATACTATACCACCATACTATACCATACTATATCATACTATACCATACTATACCATACTGTACCATACTATACCATACTATACCATACTATACCATACCATACTGTACACTACCATACTATACTATACCATAATATACTACTACTATACTAACCTGCTTGCGACAAGGCCACCGTACCAACTTCAAGGAGGGGTCGATGTCATCGCAGGGTTGGAAAGCCTTCCGCTTGCCAGCCTGGTAGGGCTTAGGGTTTAGGGGTTTAGGGTTTAGGGCTGAGGGTTTGGGGTAAAAGGTTTAGGGCTTAAGGTTCAGTCAGGGCTTAGGGTTTAGGGTAGCAGGTTTTTTTGGGATGTTTAGAGACTTCTATCAAGGCTTGTGTTCGTTCGACTTAAGCTGTGTAAAGGCTACCGTTTTTTCTTCGGGGGTTCAAGCATTGAGAGGTTGAAGGAAGAACCCCCACAGAAATCCTCATGCAAATAGTCGGGCCCATATATATATATATAACACAAGGCCCCCCGGACAAAGATACTATAATATTGAGAAACTCCTTTTTGTTTAAGAACGTCTTTTTCAAAGCACGGCTCGGCCTTGCTGGATACGGGAGCAGATGCCGAACCGGTACACATCGCAACGGGCTGCGCAGGAGCTTCGAATCTTCGCGGCTCAGGTTCCCCGCATTTTCATTCGGTTTTTGACTCGTGGGCTTCGAGCGATGCTTTGTTGATGTTAACGGCTTGGGTTTAGGAGCTTAGGGTTTGGAGTTTAAGGTTCCTGAACCAGTTGGCTCAGGGTTGAAATCTTGTTGCATTGTTAGTTTGTTGTGGCTTGAGGGTGGAGGTAAGGGACCTCGTTGTGTAAGCTTCTTCGGCTCGGCTTAAGGCCCCCAAAACCCTAAACCCTGAAGCCCAATACCCTAATACCCTAATACTCTACACCCTAAACAGTAAACCCTAAACCCTGAACCCTAATACCCGTAATACCCTACACACCCTAAACCGTAAAACCATAAAACCTCAATCCCTGGATCCTCGAACTGTGGGCTTTGCGGGTATTTTGTGTAAGGAAAACTCGGAACCCAGCTCTGAGCCATAGAAGAAGAACGTGCGAAAGACTGCTAGCGCTGCAGGGTTTAGGGTTTAGGGGTTTTTAAGGGTTTCGAGCTTAATTTAGGGGTTTAGGGCTTTGGGGTTTAGGGTTTAGGGGTTTAGGGGGTTTAGGAGTTTAGAGCTTAATTAGGGGTTTAGGGGTGTAAGGGTCTAGCGTTCAGGATTTCATACCGGCTTTCTACGAGATTTTCACAGGCTTTAGAAAGGCTTTATTCTGGAGGTCTGATTGTATTGGGGGGTTCTATGCAAGGTTCTTGTGCCGGATTTCCCAGGATTTGGGGCTTCAGGTCTGTGGGGTACTGATCTTGGCTTCAGAAGCCCTCAATCAGAACAGTTTTTCTCCCCTGTGGATTGTTTAGAGGCGACCCTGAGACGAGAAGCCTGCTCCCGTTCTTTGGAAGGTTTATATAAAGGCAAGGGTATTGAACGGTTCCATGCACCCATGTGTACACATGTGTTGTTGCGGGCTTGGTCCGCCAGTTACACTACAGTGTAGATTAGAGGGTAGCTCAGAGTCATTCGTTTAAGCCCGTTAGGTTTACAGTGTCGACCCTGACCGCCCTAAACCGCTAAACCACTAAACCCCTAAACCCTAAACCCTAAACCCCTAAACCCCTAAACCATAAACCCTAAACCCTAAAGCCCTGAACCTGAACACGACGAGGATCCCTCACGAGGATCCCGCAAGCTGCAAGTCCCAAATCCTAGAATTGGGTTTAGCATTGGGTTTAGGGTTTAGGGGTTTAGGGAAGGTAGGAGGTCTTGGAACAAACATGCCAGTTGATTTTCCACCCTGCAGCCCTAAAAACCCTAAAAACCCCCTAAACCCTAAAACCCTAAGCCCCTAAAACGCTAAACCCCTACCCCCCTAAACCCTAAACCCTACGCCGCTACCCCCTAAACCCCTTAGGCCCTAACCGCCAAACTCTCCGCGCCAGGGAAGATCCCCGGAGCCCAAGCCCCAAAGGATCCCTTCCCTAAAACCTACACCCCAAGCTCGGCTTAGGGGTTTTTGGGGTTTAGGGCTTAGGGTTTAGGGCTTAGGGAGTTAGGGGTTTAGGGCTTTAGGGGTTTATGGTTTTTAGGGCTTTAGGGGTTTAGGGCTTTTATTCGGCTTGGACAGGTATCGCAGGAATGAAGCTCCCTGCAGGTCACCCTGGTCCGGGGGCCAGGCTGCGTGCCGTTGGAGCACAGACATGCTTTCAACTTCCAATGAGTGCATGGTCTTTGGGGCGGCGTGGGGAGCAGTGCTAGCTACACTGACAGTATTGCACGTCCGCGACTGGAATCGATGCCCAAACCGAAATGGCGACGGGACAGTGTGCCCAAGAAAGAATGTACAACAAGACGAAGTATTGTAGGATGGAATGTGGACGGGTTCGACACTGGCGGGCAGGGAGGCTTCCTTGCTGCGTGTGGTTCGCTTGTCGTTTCGTATAAGATTGCTCTGAAAAAGGTCTTCAGGTGCATAGCTGCGACATGAGAATCAGGGCAGTCAGGTGGGAAGCGTAAGGGCGAGCCGGGCCTCCGCTTCCATATGTGGACGTCCACATGCATATCGCCATATCGCGTATGTTGATGTTTCGGACCTGCTTCACTGAGATTTTGGTGCGGCAATGAGGTCGGGCGAGTGTGAGCATGGGACAGGAAGGCCTTCCACATGATGTTGAACTCGCTGACCTGTGGTTTCGAGGTAATCAAGTGAGCAAGCGCAAGGATGAGATAGGCGTATCTGCGTATGTCTTGCTGAAGTTTCTGACCTGCGATCTCGGGGGGAAGTCGGGTGGGAACGGGCAAGGGTGAGTGAAGCTGGGTCGCATTGTTTCGAGATGTTTGTTTGGGTCGAACTGAGCCGGAGGTTTTAGGGTTGATTAGGGTTTGAGGTTTAGGGTTTAGGGTTTAGGGTCACGGTGAAATTGATTGGCCTCCGCGTCCATGTCTTTTCCTGCCATGACCTGCGAGTCGAGGGCAGTCAGGCGGGAACTGGAAAGGTGCGGCAGAAGGGTCTCTGCGGCCACGGGCATTTGACATGCGTCGACCCGCTTGCCGCGAGGATCGAAGAGTAGCCTGCAGACAACGTGTGAGTCATGCAATGGCATCAGCTAGACTCTTGTGATGTACTCGTCTGGCCTGGTGGTGTCATGATGTTCTCGAAAGCTTGTGGGTTTGGCCCCTCGAGACGGCTGCAGATGTGCGCCTTCACACCAATGACATGAGTCGATGCAACAAATGCAACAGTGCAATGTTGCCGTTGGTGACATCCGGACTTTTTTCCGGTGCCATCGGGACTGTCTTGCTCAGGCTTCGCAGCGTTCGCTTGGGCTCCTTAGTCCTGTGGCAGAACCACGAGTTACGTCTGCAGTGAATGCGAGTAGAATCGTCAGGATACGTGAAATTAGCAGAGGTGACGCAACGCTTTGATATCGAAACAGCGGTAGCGCGACCTCGTTATGCTCCAGGAACTCCCTCCAGGTGATTGTTATCCTGATTCGTGTGGAATCGTGTGGTCGTGTGCAGAAGTGCGAGAATTCTGAGTCCGAGAGCCGCACACTGGTGTATCGAGTTCCTGGGCGAGAACGTGTGCATGCCTCGAGGAGCCGATTCTTGGGTGACAGATATGCATCGCTGCGCTGCTGCTGGCCTCAATCGCATACGATAGACGAGCTTTTCCACTGTGTCCGTGCAAGTCGTGAGCGATAATGCCTTCGTGCAGTGGAGTTACGATTACATTTGCTTGTGCGTGCCGGGCTTCTGGCCGTTCTGTAGAAGGCATAGGGGCCGGTGTCGGCTGCGACTGTGTCCATCAATAGCTTTTTTCCTGCATCTATGACCTCACAATGTGATTGGAATTGCTGCAAGAATGTGTCTACAGGTCCTGCCTTGGCGAGCTTTCGCCCCGAAACCCATGCCGGCAGCCTCGAAATTGGAAGTAAGAACGGGAGGTGCGGTCATTCCAAGCCCGAGTGGCGCACTCCAACAGTCTCTTCACCATCAGTGCTCAGTACAAATTTTGCGAGCAGAGAAGCTTGAGCAAGGGTGCAATGCTGCGGCCGGAGCCTGAATTTTTTTTTGCCTGCTCTTACATGGCGGCATACTCTTGCAGCATCTGGCCTGTTTAGATGTTGCTGTGGCTCGTGCGTGACGGCACTTCTTCTTTTTTTTTGTCTGTGCATTGGCTTCGTTTTTGCTCGATCTACAGGATCATGACAGGTGACAGGCCCGGGAAAGGACCACGCAGCTCTTCGAGTACCTGCATACAGGGCCAGCTCTTTCTCTCAGACTAACGTCCTCGACTTCAGTTTGTTGGCATTGCCCTTTGGGTGGAGCTTGGGGTTTAGGTAGTGTAACCATGCCAGCCAGACGAGATGACATCGGCCTCAGGCGACTCTGTGACGTTCTCGTCCTCTCATAGCAGGTGGTGTCGTCTTGTCCTGGCTTGGCTTTGCGTAGCCTGTCGTCGACACTTCCAGGCTAGCGTGATCTGATTGTCAAGCTTTTTGGGGCCTTGCTTCGTGATGAGGCGCTTCTCCTTCTGTCGTGCTAGGTAGAGTTGCGAGATCATCTTCTGCAGTTGCCGGTAGCTGTGTGTCCACTCTTTTTCGTCTTCGTCAGAAAGGTCACCTTGGCAGTTCTGCTGAATGTTTGTGCCGTCTTGCGGGTGTCAATGTTGGGAGTTGCGTGCCTTGTGCACGCTGAACCAGTTTGTTGAGTGCGTCGCCCATGTCCCTGTAGAGAGCTGCTGCCACTGGGAAACTCATGGCGCTTTGTGGCTTGTGGTGATTTGATTGTTTCTTGTTGTTGGGTCTCCGTTCCTGACTGTGGAGCCTGAACGCAACATGCGAGCGGTGTGTCGTTGTCTTGAGGGTGTTTGGGATGGATACTAGGTCCGGCATGGATTTTGAGGTTTGGAATGTGTGCAAGACCCGGCTATGAGCATCTGGGTGCTGGATGTGTTTTGTTCGGGATTGTGAGAAAGTGCCATGCTGACTGTACGAAGGTGTAGCTCGAAGCTTGCATGAGTGTAGGGACTGCTGTCTACTGCAGCAAGCGGCAGCAGCGTCTGAGCCTTTGTCCCTGCGGCATGGATTCATTGACTTGCGCGGGCAGAGCACATCTGTATGCTAAACTCTCGCAGAGCTCGCTCGTTTCACCTCAGACGGAGGCTGTTCACGTTGGTCTTTCGAGCCCGAACAACCTACTTGCAAGTATGTGGGTTGTTGACTTACGGGAGCAGTCAACCCAAGTTGTGCCCTACCGCCTTGAATCTGTTTGTTTTACGGATGCTGTCAAGGTCACATGTGCCTGGGTCTCAATTTGAGGCCCAGGGCCCGGTTGTGAAACAATAGCAATCTAAATGTATTTTTCTGCTCTCAGAGGTGGTAGGAGTAGCATGTCCTGGTACGACATCCAAAGAAAAGCTGTCGGATCACTCAGTCCAACATTCAAGCGCCTGCCTTCTTGACCCGGCGACCCCTGACTTGCCAGAAAATGTCGCCTGTATTCTGCAACCATGTCTAGCGGCACCACAAGACCGCAGAGACAGTGCAAGCGACAAAGATTCCAGCAGACGCCTTCTTTGTGCACAATGATCTGATGCCCGAGCGATTGTACAAGTGTTGGACTATTTGGTCCGTGTTTCAACACGGGCTGAATGGAACTATTTGATCAGCGATCCAGACACACACACACACAGAGACACACAGACACACACACACACACACACACACGCGCTTAGTTGCACACACCTCAATCCGCACAAGCATGAGTGTGGCCGCAGCAGCTTGACAGGAGGTAAGTGTCATTGTCCAATGTCGATCTTAACTTTTTGCTTGGTCCTGCCTTGGCTTGGTAGAACAAGTCCCACCAGAGCCCTTCCAGTCTCCACGCGGCCAGTAGACCACCTGGCTGGGTACTGTCGCACATCTTGATGAACAGAGCTGCTGAGGAGCGGGCAGCGTCCGAAAAAATCTGCACGCTGCCAGTCGAGTAACCTGTGGGGAAGTTTGCGTCGCGTGCTCCTTTCTGTTTTCCATTCCATGGCGGCTGCGGGATCCATTTTTGCTGTTTGGTCTCGCTGTAAGCATGTGCGGGTGCATGAGTGTCTGCGGTTACATTCGGGTTGAGGCTAATGGCTACAAAGAGATTCATCAAGCTGGCACTGAAGGCTTTCTGCTCTTTTTGAACTTTCGTCTGTCCATGTCGGGCGGTATTTGGTTTAATTTTTTTCCGCATATTCTGACGATGCAGTCGGGTGATGAGCGTCTTCTGCGGGTCCTCATACTCTGCGCCTTTTGGCTGTCCTCGGCTGGTCGCATGGTCGACTGAAGATGAATCAACGTAGGCGAAGCGCTAACTGTATTCTGCTACTACTACTATTACTACTATTACTACTATTACTATTATTACTACTACTACTACTACTACTACTACTACTACTACTACTACTACTGACTACTACTGACCACTACTGACTACTACTACTACTACTACTACTACTACTACTCCTACTACTACTAC